GGCTGAGCTGTGGTCTCCCTTACTGTGAGGCCAGGGTCCAAGACTTGGTCTCCCTTACTGTGGGGATATGTTCAGGCAGAACTGGGGGAAAGACCTCATGCTGGGAGAGGTGTAACATCAGAAAAGGAGAGGAAGGCCCTCAACACAACGCATGCACTCCGTGACCATCACAAAGTGCATGAGTGATACGGAGGATGGCACAGGACAAAGCAAGGTCCCATCTGCTGTTCATAAGGTCACTATGGGTTGTAGTTGACTTACTAGCAACTAAAAACAGCCAAGAAAGGTGCAGGGCACAAGATCTATCCTGAAGATACACTAGAATGCTTCACCACACATCAGGAAAATTCACATGAACAAGCTGAGAAACTTCAAAGGACTAGGAGGTGCAGGGATTAGAAAAGAACTTGGAGAAATGTGAAACCATAATGTTTTCTGAGGAGGCGCAGGAGGCTATGACCACATGATGCAAACAGGAAGCGCAGAAAGGGCCACTGCAGAAATGAAAAAGAGCTCTTGAAATGCACCCAAGGCTGCCAACACAACTCTCCCAGGAGGGCATCGGGACAGGTGGGCACCTTTGAAGAGCAAAAATCTGCTTCTCCTGCTCTGGAAGCTGAAAGTCTCAATCAGATATTCATGCTGCTGCTGACAGAAGGCCACAACCGTCTGCCAGAATCTACCGGCAGAGCAGTGTGAGAACCTGGGCTCGCATACCTTCTAACTTCTGAAGCATCTGGGACATCACAGCTGGAGTCGAGCAGCTCCTCCGAAGCAAAGTGCAGCTGGGATGCTTTCCGCTCGCTGTCCCTCACGGGGCGGTCATCTAGGAAGGAAGCACACAGAGGCACTAACAGGTGGCAGACTGCCATGACGAGGCCCCAGGCACAGCGCAGGCACAGCCCAGGGCACAGGTCCTGGGAACAGAAACACCGACGCTCAAATCCAACAACCGTAGGAAATGAACCTCTGTTTCTAGAAGGAATCCGCTGCAGGACCCGCCTCGCCCTCAGAGCACTCTGCTCATCTCCACTGAACAGCTCTGAGGCACCATCTCACCCCAGCAACAACAGCCAAGTCCAACAGGCAGAAAACAACAAGTGCTGACCGAGGTTTGGAGAGATTGGAGCCTTGATTCACTGCTGGTGGGAGTGTGAAACAGGACAGCCACCACAGAAGGCAGTCTGGCACTTTCAGAAAGTTGGGAAATAGAAATACCATTTGACCCAGAAACGTCACTATTGGGAATATACCCTAAAGAAACCAGAGCTGGGAACCAAACAGGTGTATGCACACCCATTCTGGTGTCTAAGGCTTATCAAAGGTTAACTTTTGTTTGCTGGATTAACAACATATCTCTGGAAACCCTACAGACTTAGAGAAATGACAACAGTTATAGAACAGGGTTCAGGTGTTTTGTTCACAGGGTTGATATGAGTTGCACTCAACTCAAAGGCACTTGACAACAACAACAACAACAACAACAACAACAACAACAATTACTGTGTTTAGGAGAGAGGATTAGGATGGGACAGCCCCATCCAACGCAAGGCTTACAGAAGCTCATGGAACCTTAGTGCTAGATGCTTCTCTCTCTTAAGCAGCTCGTTCCCCTGGGACATAGCTCCTAGATGCTTACCACTCTGTACCACCAGCCTGTATCACCCACAGTCACCACCCAGTGGTGCCACAACTGACAGTCTAAAGGCTCCTGACATCCTTCACCAGTTTCTACAAAGCAAGCCTAGGTATTTACGGTCACGTGAGTCCTTTCCCTGATGGGTCTGAGTCTCTGGGAGATCTTTTAGGGAATCACAGAGCCCAAGGGACATAGAGGAGCTGGGGAACTGAGAAAAGAGGAGCTATTGATGTCAGGAATCCTGGACATACAGCAGACCAACCACTGGGGAAAATACTGACCCAACACTTCTTATAACTGATCTGCTACTAATCTCAGCAGACCAAATTATAAAAACACCCACCTTTATTGCCGCTTCTTTCACAACAGCAAAGAGATGGAAGCAACCCAAGTGCCTATGAATGGGTAGAAACACTATGGTATGTTCACATAATGGAATATCACACAGCACCGAAAAACAATGAACTCATAAAACTCTGCACAACATGGGTGACCCTGAAGGACACTGTAGTTGTTGATTGCCTTAGAGTTGAGCGCGACTCATAGCGTCCCTGTGAACAAAAGGCCTCAAGCCTCTCTACAACTATCGACACTGAGTGAAATATCTGTCACAAAAGGACAAATACTGCATGACATCACTGTAAGAAGACAGTCAGTGGGGGTTGGAGGGTGCATAGGACAACAGTGGATAGATAACGAACATTGTACAGGAACAGATGAGGGAAAGAACTGTCTGAAAGGAATGTATGAACAGGCATTACCTGTATGACAGCAACCTGGAGCAAGGAGGGAGGGAGGAAAATGTGCAACAGTGAATGAATGAAAACACAGCCTTTCTGTAAACTTTCATTAAAATACAATTTTTTAAAAAAACAAAAAGAGGCGGTGAAGGCCTTGTGCCCAGCCCCGATAGCCAGGAGCCTACGCCTACCTAGCTGCCTGAGGTTGGGGAGCATGTGCACAACAAAGAGGCGGTAATGAGACTCTCTCTTCACGACGGGGTTCAGCCGGAAGTCCACGTCCGTGAGATCCAGCAAGCAGTGCAGCCGGAACACTTCTGTTAGGGAGGAAATGCAGTTGTAGTAGAGGTTGAGTCTTTCCAGTGAGGTCAGGTACTGAATGCCCTGTGGACAGAAGAGACGCTGCATCAGTTCCACTGTGGAGCTAAACGAGACCACAGCACAAACTGGACAATTCACACTGAACGCACGGATCTGTGCAACGCAGGACAGGCCGAGAAGTGAGATGTGTGCTTCGGTACCATCTACTCCAGGCGCATGCATGGACCATGCATGGTGGGCACGGGGGTTGCAAGTGAAGAAGGCACCCAGCCCCCAACCGAGGGGCTCCCCACCATGACCCCCAGCATGCAGTCGAGTGGATTCCCCACCCTGACCCCCAGCACCTAGCTGAGGAGTCCCCCACCCTTACCCTCAGCACCCGGCCGAGGGGCTCGACCCCATGACTTCCCTTCAGCACGCAGCACTCAGGTGACGAGCTCACCCATTCGTTCCTTTCATCCACACAGTCCGATCTGGCAGGAACTGCTCTCCCCCCCAAGTCAGATTAGAAACCAAGGCTTGGGAAGTCCACATGTACATGGCCTGGGCCTGCCTTTCACGGGCGGAGGGCCTGGCCACTGTGCCACACTCCCTCTATAGAATGCCTGAGTGCTGTTTCCCTGCAGCTCATTTCAAAGTGAGGGGCCCTCTTTGCAGTAGCGACACACAGTGCTTGCCCCGCTGTCCCATCTGCCATCAGATGCACATTTCCTCACTCAGCAGACATGGAAAGCCTTCCAGTATCACCCTGGGCCTCGGAAAGGTGCAGGCCTCCCCTTACAGGCTGCCAGTCAAGGCCCAGAAGCCAGGGGGCAGTGGCCACAGACATGCTGTGCCGAGCAGAGGAACTTATTGATAAAGGAACGGAGAGTGAGGACTTGTCCGTTAGTCTCTGGAACCTCGTGTGGTTTCATGTAAGGGCACAATGGCCTTCATCAGTGGGCTATGGCTTTTGGTTCTCAAAAGCCATTTAAAATCATGATAGAATCTGTAAGACCCTCGGGTAGAGTAAACACAGAAAAAGGACCTCCAGGTGAGCAGATGTGCGCACAGGGTGGAAGTGTACAGGCACAGGGCAGACCGCATTCTTGACCATGAAGGTACTGGCCTTTAACACACAACATACAACTTACCTCTAGACTGACCAATGAGTTGCGTGAGAGATCTAAAAACTTTAGGCCCGTTAGCTTCACCAAAGAATTTCCTAGATGTGTAATCTTTTCTTGATATGTCCCAGGAATAGATAATGATTGAAGGTCAGCTAAGAATAGAAAAAAACAAAATTTTAAAAATAATTTTTTAATAAAAATGTTTCTACGACAAAATCCCAATTGCTTAGTTAAAAAAAAAACCAAAAAACCCAAACAACAAATAGACAAAATGTCAAAAGTTTAACAGAAAAGACACGTAACTTTAACATCCTTGTCCCATCATGCTGTTGGGAGGTGCAGAGAGCTGACCCACAGGGACCCTATCACAACAGACTGGAATCTGCGCTGCTGCAGGGCCCCCGTCACAATCTGCCAGGCTCCAACCCACACTGCAGTCGCTGTGTCAATCCAGCTCACTTAGGTCCTCTCAGGCCCTGACTCTATCTGCCTTTTCAAGCATGATGTCCTTTTCCAATGACTGGCCTCTACTGACAACTGACCTTTATTTTACTAATGCATATCTGTTGGCCCAGTTTTGCGAGTTTAAAAAAAATGAGCTATTCAGGTCCCCACTGCATCTTGCTCAGTTCCTTTACTTCTCCCTCCACATACCCAAGTCTGTGACCCTGTGATTTCCCTCCTCCCCGTCCCATCCTTAGTCTCCATCCCCCTCCTTTTCCCCCTATAAACTTTTGTACACATTTTGCTAGTTAACTTTCTATTTTGACAATAAATAGTGGGTACAGGTCAATGGTGATTAATTTTCTAAAATACAATGTATAGGAAAGGAATTGGAAGACA